GTGACTGGGATAATTGGGATGGGAGTGTCAGAGACAGTGCGATTGGCACAGGACAGAGTGGAGTTTAGGGCTGTTGTACACAGGGTCGTTACGAGTCGCAAGCGACTCGATGGCACATAACAACAACAACAACAACTTATGCAAAACTAACACCTAGAGCTGCTCTTATTGTGTGAAACACTTGTTGTTAGATGCCATCGAGTTGAGTACAACTCATAGCGACCCTATGAATAAAAGATCTGAGTCCTGTTCTATCCTGTGCCATCCTCACACTTCACAACACACAAAGAGCCCATTGCAGCAGTCACTGTGTCAATTCACCTGTTTGAGGGTCTTCCTCTCCTTTGCTGACACTCCACCCTTCCCAGTATTATGTCCATCTCCAAGGAGTAGCCTCTACCAGGAACATGCCCTAAGTATGTTAGGCAATGTCTCATTATTCTTGCCTCCAAAGAGCACTCTGGCTGCATCCTCTCCAAGACATATCTGTTTGTTCTTTTGGCCGCCCATGGGATGTTCAGTGCTCTTCTCCAGCACCTCAGCTCAAAGGCATCAGTACTTCTTCTGTCATCCTTATTGTCCAGCTTTCAGATGCACAGCAAGTGATCAAAAAGACTCTGGCCTGAATGAGATGCACCTTAGTCCTCAAACTGACATAATTACTCCTCAATAATTTGGAGAGGTCCCTAACTGCAGATTTTCCCAGAACAATGTGCCTTCTTATTTCCTGACTGCTGGTCTCCCTCAAATCCTAATGCTGCACTCCTCTTCATAGAGTCCACATGGCTTAAAATTAAGAATATGCATCAAGGTTGTATCCTCTCTCTATATATATAATCTATATGATGATCAAATTATTCAAGAAACTGGACACTAGAAAGAAGAAAGTAGAGTCAGAATTAGAGGAAGACTCATCAACAGTCTACATTATGCAGATGACACAACCTCACTTGCTGAATGTGAAGATGACTTGAAACTGTTGTGTAGAAGACCAAGACTACAGCTTTCAATAGGGATTGTATCTCAATGTCAAGAAAAGAAAAATTCTAAACACTGAACTGATAGATGTTGTTGTTGTTGTTGTTATGTCCCTGTAGAGTCGCTTGAG